TCTTTATATATTCTAGATAAATGTCCCTTAATAGATACATGATTTATAAATTCTATTCTGTGTATCATCTTTCCACCTTCTTGATGGTGTTCTGGAAAGCACAAAAGTGAAGCCCTTCTTTCATACTTGATTTTAGCAATTTGGGTCTTCTCTCTTGTTCTGATCAGTCTAGCTAAAGTTTTATCAAGTTTTTTGATCTCTTCAAAGAATGAAGTTTTAATGTTATTGATTTTTGCTCTCATTTTTCTATTCTTTATTCCACTAATGTCTGCTCTAGTTTTTGTAATTCCTCCCATCTGCTTGATTAGTTTAGGTTGTTCTTTTCATTGCTTTAAGATGAAAGAATAAGATATTAAATCGAGATTTTTCTTCTTTTTTAATATAGGTGTTTAGAACTATAAATTTCTTTCTAAACACTGATTTGGTTGCATTCTTGTAATTTTGGTTTGTTGTATCTTTATTTTCATCTTAAAATATTTTCTAATTTCCATGGTGATTTCTTATTTAGACACATTGGATACTAAGGAATATGTTATTTAATTTCCACATATTTGTGAATTTTCTAAATTTCTTGGTTATTGATTTAGAATTTTATTCCATTGTGTTCAGAAAACATTTTAATCTTTTTAATGATTTTAATAATTTTACATCCATTGAAGGTTGTTCTATGGCCTAACCTATGATCTATCCTGGAGAATGTTTCATATGTACTTCAGAAGAATATGTATTTTTAGTTGCTGAGTAGATTGTTCTAATGATGTGTGTTAGGTCTAGTTGGTTTATAGTGTTAAGTCTTCCAGTTCCTCATTACCCCTTTGTCTAGTTGTTCTAGCCATTACTGAAAGTGAGATATTAATATCTTCAAATATTACTATTGAATTGTCAGTTTTCCCCTTAAGTTCTGTCAATATTTGCTTCATGTATTTTGAGATTTGGTTGTTATGTACAAATGTGTTTAGAATTCTTAAATAACCTTGATGAACTGACCCTTTTGTCATTATAAAATATCCTTCTTTATCTCTAGTAACCTCTTTGTTTCAAAGGCTATTTTGTCTGATGCTGGTATAGAACTCCAGCTCTGTCATGGCTGCTGTTTGCATATTTCTTTTTCCATTATTTTCCTTTAAACCTATGCATATCTTTGAATCTAAAGTGTGCCTGTCTCATGCTGAGTTAGATCTTTTTTTTTTTTAAGATTTTATTTATTTATTTGAGAGAGAGAGAGAAAGAGAAAGAGCACGAGAGAGGGAGAGGGGCAGAAGGAGAAGGAGAAGCAGACTCCCCACTGAGCAGGGAGCCTGACGTGGGGCTCCATCCCGGGACCCCGAGCTCATGACCTGAGCGAAGACAGATGCTTAACTGACCGAGCCACCCGGATGCCCCAGATCTTGTTTTTTTTTATTTTTTATTTTTTTATTTTATTTTTTATGTTATGTTAATCACCATACATTACATCATTAGTTTTTGATGTAGTGTTCCATGATTCATTGTTTGCGTATAACACCCAGTGCTCCATTCAGTACGTGCCCTCTTTAATACCCATCACCAGGCTAACCCATCCCCCCAACCCCCTCCCCTCTAGAACCCTCAGTTTGTTTCTCAGAGTCCATAGTCTCTCATGGTTCGTCTCCCCTCTGATTTCCTCCCCCTTCATTTTTCCCTTCCTACTATCTTTTCTTTAACATTTATTTGTATTATTTGTTTCAGAGGTACACATCTGTGATTCACAGTCTACCAACCATTGCTTTTTGTTTGGATTGTTTAATCCACTCCCCCTTTATGTTATTATTGATGTAGTTGGGTCTTGTGTGACATTTTTCTTTTTGTTTTTTTTGCATCTCATACTTTTTTGTTCTTCTGTTCCTCTTTTATTGCTCTCTTTTGTATAAAGTAAATATTTTCTAGTTTAACATTTTAATTCTTTAAATAATGATGCAGGAGAGCTAGGTTCTTGTCTCATGGAGTCGAAGAATGAATCTTGTGGACAAAGGAGAGTGAGTAAAATAGAACTTTATTAAGTGGAGATACCGAAAAAGCTCTCAAGAGTGAGAGGGTCCTGACAGAGTTGCCACTGAGGGCCTTTAGGGTTGGTCTTTTATAGAAAGCTGACCAGGGAACTTAAATCCTTTTAACATCTCTATTGATATCACCATTGAGCAAGGACTAGTGATAACACCTTCAATGCCTTACTTCCTTTTTAGGGTCTGGTTATTCTTTGTTGGACGCAGGTGATTATTATAAAAAAGACAGCCCTCCACACGCCTAGGGCAGGATGTTCTGGTTTGTTCCCTTATCTCTGGTTTCCCCACACCTACACATTTTTGGGATTTCTGTGAGCCTGATTACATAGCCCCCTATCTATCTCTCCCTACCCAGCCCCCCTGTCCCTTACTAAATAATTTTTTTCCTATACGTTTTGTGTTATTTTCTTAGTGGTTGCTCTAGGCCTTATCATATATATCTTATCAGAATCTACTTCAGATTTATACTAAATTAATACCAGTTTATGTGTAGTGAAAGCCCAACAGTACATTGTTATAATTTTTACTTTATATAATTATTCCTTTTAAAGGTGCTGGGAGATGGGCGCCTGGGTGGCTCAGATGGTTAAGCGTCTGCCTTCGGCTCAGGTCATGATCCCAGGGTCCTGGGATCGAGTCCCGCATCGGGCTCCCTGCTCCTTGGGGGCCTGCTTCTCCCTCTGCCTCTCTCTCTCTGTCTCTCATGAATAAATAAATAAATAAAAGTTAAAAAAAAAAAGGTGCTGGGAGAAGAAGAAAGAGCATGTATTTATTGTTTGTTATAGTAACTTTCCTATTTACCATTCCTGGTTCTTTTCATTTATTCTTGTAGATTCTCTTTATTTGTTCTTATGGATTCATCTAGTGTCTTTTCTTACTCCTATATAATTCTGTTCCCACCCAACTACTCTGTGCATTAATTGTCAAATATTATTATATTTTATATATTATAGGCCCAACAATATAGTTTTATACATATTACTTTATACAATTGCTTTTTAAAATAACTTAAAAGAAGAAAAAGGGAGAAATATGCACATGCTGTCCTTTCTAACTAAATTTACCCACATTCTTTGATATTTCATGTGGATTTGAACTACTTTGAGGGTCACTTTCTTTGTTTGATTGTCTTTCAGAGTGCCTTTCATCTTGAACTTGCTCATACTCTGTTCCTGATACAGTAAGTTTCCTTAGGGAGAGCTTTGGAGCTCTCTGCTTTCATAGCTTATCTCTTCCTTGTGCAAAATCTCTTTCTCATTGAATGCTGATTTGATTATGATGTACCTTGGTACAATTTTTTTAAGCCACAGGTAGAGTTTATTTAAAAAACAAAAACAATCCCAAACAAGACTTCTTTTGACATTAAAATATAGAACAGATAATTCTATCAAGGAGTTCTTATAGATACAAATATTTGGGTCAAATGCAGCACCTTATAACTAAATATGATTTTATTCTATTTATCTTTTTTAAAAAAAGACTTTATTTTTTAGAACAATTTTTTAAAAGATTTATTTTCTTTATTTTAGAGTGAGAGTGAGAGTGTGGGGAGGGATGGGCAGAGGGAGAGAGAGAATCTCAAGCAGATTTCCCACTGAGTGTGGAGCCCCAGGTGGGGCTCCATCTAACGACCCATGAGATCACCACCTGAGCTGAAATCCATAGCCGGTCACTCAACTGACTGAGCCACACAGGAGCCCCCTTAGAGCAATTTTTAAGTGACTTTAGGTTCACACAAAAAATGGAAAGTTACAGAGATTTTCTCTACATCCCCTCCCCTCATAGATACACAACCTCACTATCAACATCCTGCATGTGTTCATATATTTGTTATAATTAATAAACCTATATTGACAGATTATTATCACCCAGAGTTCATAATTTACATTAGAGTTCACTCTTGGTGTTGTATTTTCTATGGCTTTTGACCAATGTATAATGGCATGCATCCACCATTATGATATCATACAGAGTAGTTTCACTGTCCTAAAAAGTCTCTGTGCACTCTTTTCCTCTGCATCCTCCATAAGGTGAATTCTGGCAACTACTGATCCTTCTACTGTCTCCATAGTTTTGTGTATTCCAGAATATCATACATTTAGAATCATACAATATGTAGCCTTTTCAGGTTGGTTTCTTTCACTTTGTAAGACGCATTTAAGTTTCCTCCATATCTTTTCCTGGCTTGATAGCACTTTTTAAATATTTATTTATTTATTTGAGAGAGAGCAAGAGAGCATGAGCAGGGTGAGGGGCAGAGGGAGAAGCAGACTCCTTACTGAGCGGGGGGCTCTATGCGGGGCCGATCACAGGACCCTGAGATCATGACCTGAGCCGAAGGCAGACGCTTAACTGACTGAGCCACCCAGGCACCCCAATAGCTCATTTTTTAGTGCTGAATAACGTTCCATTGTCTGTATATACCATCGTTTGTATGTCCACCTACTGAAGGATGTCTTGGTTACTTCCAAGTTTTGGCAGTTATGAATTAAGTTGCTATAAACTTCCATACACAGGATTTTGTGTGGACATTAAGTTTTCAATTCATTTGAGTAAATACTAAGAAGCACAACTGATGCATTTTATCGTAAGAACATATTTAGTTTTGTAAGAAAGTCCAGACTATTCCAAAGTGGCTGAATCATTTTGCATTTCCAGCAGCAATAAATGAGAGTGCCTATTGTTTCACATCCTCATTAGCATTTGGTGTTACCAGTTTTTTGGTTTTTTTAATAGGTGTGTAGTTGTATCTCATTGTTGTTTTGAATTTAAGTGCTTTTTATTTTTTGACAACCTACATGACATGTTTTTTTTTTCTTTCTTAAAAACAATGCCTCTGCTCCAAATAAATCAAGGTCAAAATAAATGAAGAGCTCAAGATGACAACAGTCCCTTTGTCTAAGTCCTGGTGTTGTGTGGATGAAAAGCAGCAGTCAGTTATGATAACACGGGATAATAGCAAAAGTGTAGCCAAATGTGTTAACATTTTTTCACATCTAAACCAGCCTTAAGGTAAATCACATATGGGGTTGCACCATCCTCGTGGTAGTCCAGGATAACAACCATGTCATCTGGATTCATGGTTTTATCAATAAAGAACAGGTTGTTTTTGAAATTAGTGAAGATGTCCTTGATTTGTTCTGTAGCCCCAGTCATAAAAGGTTTCACTCTTTCTGGTCTTTGTTCTTTAAGTTTGCCTTTGATTGATTTCATATAATCTTTGATGTACTTCCTGTGGGTTTCTTTTGTGAATCTGGTTTCTTGCAAGTGATGGTTCATGACAATATCAACTCCAGTGATCACTGTGATTTGGGTACATTTGCCCTTGGGGCTTTCAATGAAGACATTTTCACCAATGAGTGACTCAATAGTGTTCACTCTGTCTTACTGGCCATATTCCACTCCACCCATAGGAACTACCCAGCTCATCATGGAACTGATGAGGTCCCAGTAGATGATCATGACAATGGCTAGAGAGAGTCAATGGTAGTGCTAGCCAGCAGGAGCCCAGAGCTGGAAGTAAATGGTATGCGGCCAGAAGGCATGCTGGGGGAGGGGTTAGTGGGTGGAAAAGTTATCTGTTCAGATTTTTTGCCTATTTTTTAATTGGAGTTTTTTGTTTTTTTTATTGTTGAGTATTAAGTGTTTGTATTTTTGGATAACAGTCATTTACCAGCTATATGTCTTAGAAATATTTTTTCCCAGTTTGTGGCTTGTCTTCTCATTTTCTTGACTGTATTTTTGCAGAGCAGAAGTATGATTTTGACTCACTAATTTAGTCAAGCTTATTGATTATGCATTGGGCTTTCAATATTGTATCTAAAATAACATTGCCATCCAAAGTCACTAGGCTTTCTCCTATGTTATCTTCTAGGAGTTTTATTATTTTATGTTTTACACTTAGGTTGATGGTTAATTTTGTGTAGGGTGTAAGATCTGCATCTCGATTCCTTTTTTTTTTTTTTTTTTTGCACGTGGATACGTTTTTCTAGCACAATTTGCTGGAAGACACTCTTTGCTCCATAGTATTACTTTTGCTTCTTTGTCAGAGACTAGTTGACTATATTTATGTGAATCTATTTCTGCACTCTTTATTCTGTCCCATTGATTTGTTTATTCTTTTGCCAATACCATACTGTCTTGATCACTGTAGCTCTATAGTAAATCTTGAAATCAGGTGTGTAAGTTCTCTGACTTTGTTCTTTTTCAATATTGTGTTGGATATTCTGGATCTTTTGATTTACCATATAAACTTTAGATTCACTTTGTCAATATCCACAAATTAACTTAAGATTTTGATTGATATTGCATTGTAGATCAAGTTGGGAAAAAGTGATATCTTAAAAATATTGAGTCTTCCTATCAATGAATATGGATTATCTCTCCATTTATTTCATTCCTTTATTTATGTGATTTCTTTTATCAGAGTTTTATAGCTTTCCTCATATAGATCTTGTATATATTTTTTCAGATTGGTACAAGTATTTTATTTTGGGGGTGCTAGCATAAATGGTATTGCGTTTTTAATTTCAAATTCCACTTATTCACTGCTAATATATAAAAAAGTAATTGGCTTTTATATATTAACCTTGTATCCTCCAACCTTGCTAAAATTGCTTTTTAGTTGCAGGAGTTTTTTGTTGAATTTTTTGGGTTGTCTACATAATCATGCCATTTTTGAACAATGACGGTTTTATTTCCTCCTTCCTAATCAGTATAACTTTCATTTCCTTTTCTTGTCCTATTGCATTGCTAAGACTTCCAGTACAATGTGGAATAAAAGTGGTGAAAGAGATCATCCTTTCTTTGTTCCCAATCTTAGTGGGAAAGCTTCCAGTTTTTCTTCTTGGTAGAATTTTCTTCATGTTTCTTCTGCCTGGGATTTGCTTTCATCAAATTTGAAAAAATACTGGGTCACTATTTTGATTTTTTCTTTCTCTCCTGTCCTTCAGAGACCTAATTACAGAAAGATTAGGTCGCTGAATGCTTCCCACAGTGCACTGATACACCGTTTTGTTTTTTTTTTTCAGTTTTTTTTCTCTCAGTATTTTAGTTTGGATAATTTCTATTACTATTTTTCAAATTCACTGATCTCTTCTGCAGTGTTTGATCTGCTCTTAATCCTATAAAATTTATTTCCCATCACAGACATTGTTTTTTCCTCTGTAGAAATTGAATATGTCTTTTTATATTCACCATTTCTCTATGTTAATGCTAATGTTTTCTTCTTCCTTCTCAAACACATGGTATAAGGTTTTAGTTACATTTTTAATATCTTTATTTATTGTGTCATGTGTATAATTATTGGTTTAGTTTCCACTGACTGATTTTTTTCTTTTTTTCTTTTTGGTTGTGATTTCCAGCTTATTTCATGAATTTTAAACAACAAAGAATGTTTATATATACTTCTGATTGTTCAGTTTAGGGCAATGAAATGTATAATATATATTTTATAAACATTGAATACTTCAGTATTAAAATGTGCCCTTCAATTATATAGAAATCGCATTTTTTCATGCAATTTTATTCTCTTGGAACAATGAGATACAGTGCACTTTGAAGTCAAATATAATAAACTTCAAAATACAGTTTTACTAAAGCTTTAGGAAATTAAGGAAGTTATCTTACCTCTATGAGTTTTGATCATCTCATATGCAAAATTAAGACTCAAATATGTATCTCATAGAACACTTACAAACATTAAATTAGATATGACTCTAAGGAACCTAATGTGATGTATAGAACATAGACTATAATAAAAAAATTGTCCATTTGTTAGATGTTTATTCTGATGTGTACTGATTCTATATAAATGAGACAATACCCATGCACCTATATGTAATATGATGATATATCTAAATGGTACATACAATATTATAATAACTTTATAATATTTTAATAAAATATCAGTAAGGCTATTATTATTATTATTTTTTTTTTTTTTAAAGATTTTATTTATTTATTCATGACAGACAGAGGGAGAGAGAGAGAGAAGCAGAGGGAGAAGCAGGGTCTCCACTGAGCAGGGAGCCCGATGTGGGACTCGATCCCAGGACCCTGGGACCATGACCTGAGCCGAAGGCAGACGCCCAACCATCTGAGCCACCCAGGCGCCCAAGGCTATTATTATTAAAGCATTCATTACACTCTCCAATCTCATGAACCTAAGACTTCGAGTAAATACATATGGATTCACTTAAAATGCAAAAATTCAATAATCTAGATGCTTCATTTCTACAATGCCAACAATTGGATATTTATTAATCCAGTTTTTAGACTAAACATTTTTCTCATCTAAATGCTTAGTATCATCAGACATAGTCACAGGAGAATACAGATATTCATACAGCAATCTAGACTACAATATGTTTTCACATAAAAAAGGTTAGAATGGGATAGTTGCAGTTTGAAAGCAAGAGATTTCATAATACAGAAGATTGCTTTGGTAGTTAATTTGTTTTGCATAATAAGATTGGATGTTAAAAGATAAAATGTAAATAACTTTGAAGATAAAATTCCTAGAGACATTCTCAACTTATATGTAATATTAATTGCCTTGATATATATGATATATAAAAGTGATTTATATACATATATTCAAACTTATTTTATTTAGCCAACCTTAACCTAATAACAAATTAAGTAATGAAATCCAAGAAGAATATGATAAGGATTTGTAATCAAGTTAGAAAATATAAAATTGACTACAGTGCAAATGGTTATCTTGTCTAATGAAACTGATGTTTAAATGCTGTTATTGGCCAGAAATATTTAAAAATTGCTTACATTTTAGAAATGGTTTGGCACATTTCATCAGCTTATGGCTAGATCATTGTAAGTAGTTCTTGACTAATTTTCTTTTTATCACACAATTTTATTCTTTAGTAAACAAGAACCAGCCTAATGTCATTTCTAATGAAGAGTGTTATTTGGCTAACTTCAGAACTGTGCCACTTCTAAGAAGTTTACATTAAAATCAGATGGTGTTAATTTGGAAAGTTGTTTTGGTTTTGGGAACATCCTATTTAAAATACTGTTATCAAGTGATGGGGATTAAAGAGTACACTTATCATGATGAGCACTGAGTTATGTATGGAATTGCTGAATCACTCTCTTGTACACCTGAAACTAAAAATTCATGCATTCTGTATGTATTGAGTATATATTTAGGGGTAGCACTGCTCAGTCATAGGCAGTCATATGTTCAGCCTTAGTAGATATTGTCCAGCAAGTTTCCAAAAGAAAAAAAGTTGGAATTCACTTTGGAAAATTCTCCATTTCTACTAAAGTTGAACCTATTCAATCATTGTGATCTAAAAAATCTACACCTGGGATTCAAATGTGCACCAGAAGACAGGCAAAAAATATTTATGGAAGCATTGTCCAAATTAGCTAAAACTATAAAGAATCCAAACGTCAACATTAGAAGGGATAAATACAGTGGTATGTTTATACTAGAATACTCTGTGGCAATGAAAAATGCTACACACAAAATCATGAGTGGGTTTCACAGATATAATGTTGAGTGAAAGAAACTGGACACAAGATTAAATGCTTTATGGTTCCATTTATAAGATGCTCAACAGAATAAATAGTGGTCACTTCAAGGGATAGTGGTTAGATTGTAGGTTCTGATTGGTGGTTAGATTAAGCTGTACATTTACGAATTGCGTACCGTGTGCATACTATAGTTCAATAAAATATGTTTAAAACTAATACGCCAGCTATTGAGAAGAGTTTCCCTGTTTGAGGTGAAAAAAATTGGGTCAAGGAAGAAGAGTGGGGAGGGAATTCCATTCAATTGCTCCATCCTTTGTCACTCATCCTTTTTCCTAAATTCAGTTTCCAGTGTCAGGGCCTTGCCGGCTCAGTCCCTGAATTCGGAGGTTCCCAAACTGTCTGGGGCTCCTCCCGCTCGGAGGCGGGTGAGGATGGAACTGTGTAGGGGCGCAGAGTGAGAGAGAGGACTCAGATCCCCTCCAATTCCGCACATGCCAGCAGGAACTGCCGCGAAACAAGAGCAAAGCTGTGGAAAGAGCAAAGTGCCCGCCCAAGGTATCAGCTGCGGTTCGCTGGTCAGCTGCAGGATGACTTCCTCCCCTCCCCGCGAACTGTGGGGCAGGTACTTTTATTAATTCCGGAGGGATAAATCTTTGTTCACAAAAGGACTGTTCTCCGCTAGCTATAAAGGAAAATAAACCATTGAGGATTAGAACAAAGACGCAACTGCTTTGCCTTTTCTTCTTTTTTTTTCAATTTGGAGTCAGCAGGCGCCAATGTGCCCCTTCCAGAAGTGAAGCATAGGAGCGTGGAGAGACTTCTCCCCAAGGCCCCGTTCCTTTTTGGGACGCGGCAGTGTGACTAGCTCGCCCCAGGCAGTAAACTTGTGCCTGTGACAGGGAAATGGATTAAGCCCCAGTGTGTGTTGCACTTTTCAGGGCACCTGCGCGCATGAAAACTCCAGTGGACTCTTTTGGAAAGGAGAACATGGCCCCCAAGTCTCTTTGCAACCTCTCCCAGACCGCGGACGAGAACCCAAGCGGCTTCGTTACCGGGGTGTCGGAGAGGGACTTCCTGCCCGCCTCGGATGGGACCAGCGCCAAGTTCGCGATCCGCTGCGTGATCCCGTCCCTCTACCTGCTCATCATCACGGTGGGCTTGCTGGGCAACATCATGCTGGTGAAGATCTTCATCACCAGCAGCGCCATGAGGAGCGTGCCCAACATCTTCATCTCTAACCTAGCCGCTGGGGACTTGCTCCTGCTGCTCACTTGCGTCCCGGTGGATGCCTCGCGCTACTTCTTTGACGAGTGGATGTTCGGGAAGGTGGGATGCAAACTGATCCCTGTCATCCAGCTCACCTCCGTGGGGGTTTCCGTGTTCACTCTCACTGCCCTCAGCGCCGACAGGTAGGGGCGCAGGGAGTGGAGGTGTGGTCTGGAAAAGAGGTGGAGAGGGGTAGGAGTGCCCCAGGGTTGGGGGGTAGTTTGGAAAGGCTGGGGATGGGCAGGGAGAGAGGGAGAGAGAATGTATCCGGGAATTAGAGTAAAAGAGTTAAAACGACTGAGATGTGAAGCTAGAAAATATATATAAGAAAATTATTACTTTTAAAATAATTAATATTGCCTTAGTTTGAAAGCAGTTTTAAAATTGCATATGCTGGTCTTCCTCCTCCCCTGCACAGTGGAAATCTTTATTATCTATTTCATAGAAAAGTTGTAGAAAAATTGGGCAACGGTGCAACTATCACGTAGAAACTTTTCTTGTGTGCCCAAATTTTAGAAGTGCACTTTCCTTATCCAGTACTTTAGTAACCTGATAGGTAAGAAAGTCTGACTTAATATTAGGGAAATATTTGATTTTGAGGTTTTTTCAAATATGGGGAAACATTGTTTACACTTATTAACTAAATTCTGGTATCTATTTGAAGTAAACAACTACACTAGTAAATGCTCTTCAGACAGATGACTATACATTCTTGTTTTAATACCTCAAGTCAAGGGACCCCCCCAACAGGTAGGTACCCAATTTTAGTGTCTTAAAATGGTGCTGTAAAAATACATTTTTTTGACATTTAAAATACATTTTATTTCATAAATCAAGACAAATTCATACTGATTATATTTAGTTTTCTTTAAAACAGTATCTTTTTTTTTTAGAGAAACATTTACTTATGCTTGCCAGTTTATTATAAAGGATACCGATGAACAGCCAGATGATGAGTACATAGGGCAAGGTACATGGGAAGGGGCACAGTGCCTCCATGCACATGCTCTCTCTAGGTACACCACTCACCCAACACTTCCATGTGTTCACCAGCTTGGAAGCTCTCCAAACCCCATCCTTTTGGAGTTTTATGGAGGCTTTTTTTTATTATGTTATGTTAATCACCGTACATTACATCATTAGTTTTTGATGCAGTGTTCCATGATTCATGGTTTGCATATAACACCCAGTGCTCCATTCAATATGTGTTCTCTTTAATACCCATCACCAGGCTAACCCATCCCCCCACCCCCGTCCCCTCTAGAACCCTCAGTTTGTTTCTCAGAGTCCATAGTATCTCATGGTTCGTCTCCCCCTCCGATTTTTTTTGATATCAAATCTGCTTTTCACATATTTTAAACATGGGGAAGTGTCCACTGTTCTACCTTGCAGATCAGCTAAGTTCAACTATGTCATTCTCCAGGTGAAGATACTGAGGCCCAGGGAATGTAAGTTCCCTTGGCAGAGCAGAGAGAAGAATCCAGGCCAGCTGACTCCTGGTCCAGTGCCCCTACCTCAGTCTGTTTATGATCATGCTTTCAGGCCTTTAAACAGGAGGGATGTCTGAATGGGGGTGGGGATAAAATGTCCAATTAGGCAACTGTGCATGGCACCCTGGTCTAATTCCCTTGGGGATGGGGTATGTCTAAGCTATTTAGACAAACAGCTGGACTTGGATGATTAAGGTGGTGGTCACTCTCCTCTTCTTCAATTTACGTGTTGTTATTAATGGAAAATGAGTCCATCTAAATTTCCTGGTATTTTCAATAATAATAATAATAATAATATTATAATACCTTTAATAATACCCTTCCATCACTCTGGCATTGAAGAGCTGTTCTTCGTTGAAGGAAAGACAATAATCACTGGGAATTTGAGAGCTTCTGTCCTTTTAAACCAAATATTATTGACTTTTTGGTTTGTGTCATATTCTTTCTAAAACCACATTCCTATAAAAATAGGTGACTTCGGGTAAATGATGCACCTCATCTTGCTAATATGACACCATTTCTATCACCTTTTATGAAGTTTTCTTTGACTCCTATAATTAAAACATGACTTTTTAGTTTAGCTGCCCTTTCTTATAGGACCTATTTTAATTAGAAAGTTAAAAGAATTCTACATAATGATTAGAATAAAACTTAACGAATAGCTATCACTACACTAGTTAAAATTACTATCGTGCTTTAATTCCAAGAGTAGCAAGATCCAAGGCTTGAGTTTATTTCATGCCATTTTTCTCAACCTATTATCATGGAGAGCCACAGGTAAACTGGCTCTGACCAAGCTGAGAGAACATGCTATTCCTCATGTATTTACTGACTTTTTTGGTTTGTTATGTGTGTCAAGTACTCTGTAAATGCAGCACGGATAACTTACTAAGGATAAAAAAAGCTGGGTTGCCTCTTCTACTTGGTCCGGATTCGCCTATTAGTGCATGTTTTGGAAATATAAGTTAAGGAACTGGAATCCCTGGTGATGAAATGACCCAATACATTCCAATATTCAATTAAAATGGTTTGGAAATGTTTTGCTCTATATTGTCTACACGTCTACTTTTCTTCCAGAGCATAGTAATCAACTGTTGATAAGTACTTGATCTCCTCACATTTAAGCAAATATTTTGATTTCCTGTCAGTTTGATAACAAGTAGAAGACTAATCTCCCTTAGCACTGTGCTTATTTGTGAGTTTATTACCCTCACAAGACTATGAAATAGGTATTAATATTATTGCCATTTTGAAGTGAAGAATACTAACTCTTGAAATTAAGCAGCATTTTCATGATCTTACAATGATGGAGCTAGCCTTTGAGCTCAGTTCAAAGCCCATACTCTTCACATTAAGCCACATTATTGCTTTTCTAATCTTAAGAAATTATTAATGATCTTTCCTACTAATGGTAGACTGAAAAGTTCAGTTTGAAACAAAGCACCCAAGAGTAAAAAAGGAAAAATGATTGCAAAAGCTGATTCATTAGATTCAACAAAAGCAAAGAACATCATAAAAATGTGATTGTAAAATAAAAGAAACATCTCAAAGTCAAGATTAAGGAGTAGTTGTAGCAACAGGAAAACTAAAACAAAACAACACACACACACACACACAAAGCCCCAAAACCCTGTTATTAGAGTTTTTAAATTGTTAAACCAAATCTCCTATTTTCATGAGATGGCTTAAGTGTCTTTGCTTAAGAAAATAAAGATAGAGAATTTAGAAGTAGAGATCACAGTGATGTAGAAAAAGGAACAGGAAGATAATTCTATTTCAGAAAGCATATCCGAATGTGATGTGGACTTCAATGTTATAGAGAGCAGAGACTGAAATAAGAAATATAATACTTATGAATCTACCTTGAGGGCCTAAATCACCTTTGTTGATAGGGCCGAAGGGTTGTGTGGGTGACACTTTTGGTACTCGAGATTATTAATCCTTGGCTTTCCAAACTTTTTCGAGAAGTTTCAACTGATAATTCTTTAGGAGAGGTCATTTGTGTCCACCGTAGATGTGCTTCAGAGACATCACAGCCAGAGTGTGAGGGGGATATACAGCATGGTCTTGAGATGGTGAGAATGGTGACCTCAGTTTGTTTTCTACTTTTATCTTGACGAATTTTTTTGTATTTTGAAAATGTACTTGTTTGCTGGCTCACATTAAATAGCTAATTACAGGCACTTGCATATTCTCTGTGGTATTATGTTTTTAACAGTTCTCCACACACACACACACACACACACACTCACACACTCACCTATATGCTGTGATACTGAGTAGGTGGAGTCCCATAAACATAATTTGTCTATGGCTGGCATTATAGATCTCTCCGTCACTATCTATTACAGTAGCTTCATTTCCAAGTTTAGAATACAATTTCTTTGATTTTTGAAGACATTTTGGCCTCTAAAAGCCCCTAATTAGAATGCAAATAACTTTTAAGAATGAGTTCTTTCTTTTTTACAGGAAAAATTTCTCAAATTCCTAGTGCTGAACTGTAAACTTTAATATTTTATATATTTACAAATGTAAAACTAGATATCTTATTCTTTTTTATGTGTTAATTAAAATGCATTTACAAATTAAATATTAAAAATCTATAAAAATAAAAGTGAATTTAATATTGATTTAATGTATCAGACCATGTTGTTTTTCTGTTATTAAATAGCCAATGTTGGATTGAATGCAAAAATAATTTTGCACCAAATCTGGCTAAAATATGAATGGTTTCAAGCTTTTGTTTGCTAGTTAAGATAATCAGATTTAATTCCATAACTGAGCTAGTTATGTTAGGTAGGAACCTTAAATCATTAACATTATTTGGATATTATACCAATTCAAACAGATACTCTCTTCAGTATAATTATTTGTTAAAATAGTGAAATAGATCAAACATAGGCCCTGGATCTACACTTCCTAGGCTGTCAGAAGCGTTTTTATCAGTCTCAGTCCAGTAATGGGTAAGGGGGAGGGGGCGGGGAGTGCCATAATCTGTTTGCTGGGTTTTCACCAAAACTCCTGACTGAAGCTCAGATACTGATTAACCAGCTGGCCCAGACTGCAGATGATTTCTTCTTTGGTCTGGAGCCCTGGGTAGTATGTGAGAAGCCTTTGCTTCTCGGTGCTGACATTAGCACTTTGAGTGTATTTCTTTACTCTTCTGGAGAGTTCAGACTGGCAGTACCTCCTAAGAGCATACTCCCCACTTGCCCTTTTACCGGAGTGAGGACTTTTTTATTGTCAACTTGTTCCAAAAGAATTTAAGGGAGCTTAAAAATAAAGATACAAACAACATACAACGACATAAAAAAGGAAGGAAACCCAGGTAGAGGAAAAAATAAAAGTTGAAGATTATAAGTTGACTTATACTATCACAAAATGTGAGTCATATGTTTGTCTGCAAGCATTCTATCTGCCGATGCAAAAAGGGCATTTTTTTCCATAAGAAGTGCTCAGTGTTACTTTATATAGTCATAAAACAGGATAAATTATAACCTGCACTTAATTTATTAGTTTTTAATTTTAATTTGTATTTTTTTTGTTAAACAAAAGTTGCTATATTTAACTCCAATAAGTCAGATATCTTTTATTCATTGGTCTCACATGCTTCTAGCTTTTGAGAAAACTTTATAGTTTTTGAAGATTATTCA